CCATCCAGCCTCTGTTTAAAAGCTTCTAAAGAAGGAGCCTCCACCACACTCTGCAGCAGAGAGTTCCAATGCTGAACAGCTTTCACAGTCAGGAAGTTCTTCCTCATGTTCAGATGGAATCTCCTTTCTTGTAGCTTGAAGCCATTGTTCTGTGTCCTAGTTTCCAGGGAAGCAGAAAGGAAGCTTGCTCCCTCCTCCCTGTGACTTCCTCTCACATATTTAAACATGGCTATCATCATGTCTCCTCCCAGCCTTCTCTTCTTCAGGCTAAACATGCCCAGCTCCTTAAGCTGCTCCTCATAGGGCTTGTTCTCTAGACCCTTGATCATTTTAGTCGCCCTCCTCTGGACACATTCCAGCTTGTCAATATCTCTCTTGAATTATGGTGCCCAGAATTGGACACAGTATTCCAAGTGTGGTCTAACCAAAGCGGAATAGAGCATGGGGAGCATTACTTCCCTAGATCTAGACACTATGCTCCTATTGATGCAGGCCAAAATCCCATTGGCTTTTTTTGCCGCCACATCACATTGTTGGCTCATGTTTAACTTGTTGTCCACGAGGACTCCAAGATCTTTTTCACACGTACTGCTCTCAAGCCAGGCGTCACCCATTCTGTATCTTTGCATTTCGTTTTTCCTGCCAAAGTGGAGTATCTTGCATTTGTCACTGTGGAACTTCATTTTGTTAGTTTTGGCCCATCTCTCTAATCATGTCCTGTTAATAGACAATTGCTACAGGCCCAGCGTGTAACAGGACAGAGGGCCTCCCCCAAAGATCGAAGAGTTCATAGAGAGAGATACGGTCACGAAGGTAGGCGGGTCCCAAACCGTTCAGGCCTTTATAGGGAAGAATCCAGGGAGTGGGGTGAGCTCCCGCTGTTAGCTCCAGCTTCTTCCAACCTAGCAGTTCGAAAACATGCAAATGTGAGTAGATCAGTAGGTACCACTCCGGCGGGAATGTAACGGCGCTCCACACAGCCATGCCGGCCACATGACCTCGAACTCTGCGGCTTAGAAATGCAGATGAGCACCAACCGCCAGAGTTGGACACAACTGGACTTAATGTCACGGGAAAACCTTTACCTTTACTACAACTCCCAAATGACAAAATCAACCCCCCGCAACCCCACCATTATTCAAATTTGACTGTATCGGGTATTTGTGCCAAATTTGGTCCAGTGAATGAAAATACATCCTGCATATGACATACAACCTTCCTAATGCCGTGACATTATGAATCATAATGTAAATATCTGATATGCAGGATGTGTTTTCATTCACTGGGCCAAATTTGGCACAAATACACAATATGCCCAAATTTAAATGCTAGTGGGGTTGGGAGTTGTAGTTGCTGGGATTTATAGTTCATCTACAACCCAAGAGGATTCTGAACCCCACCAACGATGGAATTGAACCAATCTTGACACACAGAACTCCCATAACCAACAGGAAATACTGGATGGGTTTGGTGAGCCTTGACCTTGAGTTTGGGAGTTGTAGTTCACCTACATCCAGAGAGCACTGTGGACTCAAACAATGATGGATCTGGACCAAACTTGGCATGAATACTCAATATGCTCAAATCTGAACATTACTGGAGTTTGGGTGAAGTAGACCTTGACATTTGGGAGTTGTAGTTGCTGGGATTTATAGTTCACCTACAATCAAAGAGCATTCTGAGTTTCACCAACGATGGAATTGAACCAAACTTGGCACACAAAACTCCCATGACCAACAGGAAATACTGGATGGGTTTGGGGGCATTGACCTTGAGTTTGGGAGTTGTGGTTCACCTACATCCAGAGAGCACTGTGGACTCAAACAATGATGGATCTGGACCAAACTTGGCACGAATACTCAATATGCCCAAATATAAACACAGATGTAGTTTGGGTGAAGTAGACCTTGACATTTGGGAGTTGTAGCTGCTGGGATTTATAGTTCACCTACAATCAAAGAGCATTCTGAACTCCACTAACAATGGAATTGAACCACACTTGGCACAGAGAACTGCCATGACCAACAGAAAATACTGGAAGGTTTGGTGGGCATTGACCTTGAGTTTGGAAGTTGTAGTTCACCTACATCCAGAGAGCACTGTGGACTCAAACAATGATGGATGTGGACGAAACTTCGCACAAATACTCAACATGCCCGAATGTGAACACTGGTAGATTTTGAGGGGAAATAGACCTTGACATTTGGGAGTTGTAGTTGCTGGGATTTATAGTTCACCTACAATCAAAGAGCATTCTGAACCCCACCAATGATAGAATTGGGCCAAACTTCCCGCACAGAACCTCCTCAACCAACAGAAAATACTGTGTTTTCTGATGGTCTTTGGTGACCCCTCTGACACCCTTTCGTGACCCCCCAGGGGTCCTGACCCCCAGGTTATGAAACATGGATTGCACGTGCCTAGTATTGATATACATTCAAACAAACACAACAACACTTGTGCAGTTTTGGTTTTAATTTCTGGAAGACACGACCCCCCCTCCCCCACCCTCCCACAAACAAAATAAATGCTTCCAGTACAGAGCGTCAAGAACAGGCACATCTGTGAAGTGAAGGATGGAAGATGAGATGAGATGGGTACCCTCCTCCCCGTCACTCCCATTGGGTTGTCCCAGAAATACCCAGTTGAAGAGCACTTCCTACATTTGATCCAACAGCCCTTGGAAGGAGTCGAGCAATGGCACACCTTCCGAGACAATGTGACACACGGATCGAGATGTGAGATTGAAGTATGAGCAGCATAAGTGTCCACATGCACGGGTCCATGTGTCTCCTTCCCCAAGGCAGTCGACAAGCCCCACCATATCCGACTTCCTTCTATCAGGCAGGAAGACACAATCAAAGCACTCCCAACAGAAGCTCATCCAGTCTCGGCTTAAAAGTCTTCAAAGAAGGAGACTTCAGAGTTGAACAGCTCTCAACATGACAATGTTCTTCCTAATGCTTAAGTGGAATCTTTTTTTCCGTAGTTTGAATCCATTTATATTAGTGTTTAGTATTCTCATACTACCTCTTTACTTGGAAGTTGGAAGAGACCTCATGGGTCATCCAGTCCAACTCTTCCAACTCTTTGATTCTATGATTTGTGCTGCTGTGTTTGGCGGACCTTATGTAGTCTCTTTGGAGCAGCGGGTTAAACCGCTGAGCTGCTGAATTTGCTGACCGAAAGGTTGGCGGTTCCAATCTGGGGAGCGGGGTGAGCTCCTGCTGTTAGCCCCACCTTCTGCCATGTTTCGAAAACATGCAAATGTGAGTAGATCAATATGTGGGAAGGTAACGGCACTCTACGCAGTCATGCCGGCCACATGACCTTGGAGGCGACTACGGACAACGCCGGCTCTTCGGCTTCGAAATGCAGATGAGCGCCAACCCTCATAGTCAGACACAACTGGACCTTTAGCTATTGATGAAGGTGTTTTAGTTTAGGATAAGGAACAGCTAGGAAAGTTGCTTCACCCTGTTGTGTAGGCATGCTTCTAACCTGACTCACAAAGAAGGAGGGGTTGTGTGCGTGTGCGCTTGAAGGTAGTGGTGGTGTTGAGAAGGGCATGCAACGGGAGGATGGCCTGGTGCTTGGAGCTGGGATGGAATGGAGTGATGCTGGCCCTCCATTAGGTGCAGTTCGAGAAGAGTTGGGGAAGACGGACAGGACAGGAGCGACACCAAGACAAGGCTCTTGTTTACACTCGGGTGCAGAAGGGGGAATAAGGCTGTCGGGAGCATCATGCAGAAGGGACGGCGTCCACCCCACCCCAAGTACGGACTTTCATTGGCACTGCAAATAGCTTCATTAAGATCACTATTGACCGAAAGGACGATAGTGGTGGACGGTGAAGCAACAGCTCCCCCTGGTGGCCAGAATACCCTCATGAAAAAGCTGGAATGTTAAATAGCCTCTGACTGTCTGTCTATATATGTTGTGTGTCTATGGCATTGAATGTTTGCCATGTATAAGTACATTGTAACCCGCCCTGAGTTCGAAGCCCACCCGGGTCGGAGCTTCCGACCAATTTGTGTAGCTTGTTGTCGACCTTGGCAGCCCGAAAGACAGTTGCATCTGTCAAGTAGGAAAATCAGGTACCACTTATGCGAGGAGGCTAATTTAACTAATTTACGAGGCCATAAAAATCTCCAGCAAGCATGCAGGGAATGAGGAAGTACTTCATCAGTGTCGCAGATGGACGATGAAGCGACAGCTCCCCTGGTGGCCAGAAAAAGCTGGAATGTTAAATGTATTTATTATCTATTTATTTACAGTATTTATATCCCGCCCTTCTCCCCCCGCAGGGGACTCAGGGCGGATTACAATGTACACATATATGGCAGACATTCAGTGCCAAAGACACGCAACAGATATAGACAGACAGTCAGAGGTTATTTTAACTTTTTCTGGCCTCCAGGGGAGCTGTCGCTTCATCGTCCATCTGCGACACTGATGAAGTACTTCCTCATTCACTGCATGCTTGCTGGAGATTTTTATGGCCTCGTAAATTAGTTAAATGATGAAGTACTTCCACATTCCCCGTATGCTTTGCTGGAGTCTTTTTTTATGGCCTCGTAAATTAGTTAAATTACCCTCCCCACACATAGGTGGTACCTAATTTTCCTACTTGACAGATGCAACTGTCTTTCGGGTTGCAAAGGTCGACAACAAGCTACACAATTGGTCAGAAGCTCACTCCGACCCGGGCTGGCTTTGAACTCTTGACCTTTTGGTCAGAAGTAATCTTAATGCAGCTGACACTCAGCCAGTGCCTATAGCCTATATGTGTTGTGTGACTATAGCATTGAATGTTTGCCATGTATATGTACATTGTAATCCGCCCTGAGTCCCCTGTGGGGTGAGAAGAGCGGAATATAAATACTGTAAATAAATAAATAAATAAATAAATAAATTAATTAACATTCCAGCTTTTTCTGGCCACCAGGGGAGCCGTCGCTTCACCGTCCATCTGCGACACTGATGAAGTACTTCCTCATTCCTCGCATGCTTGCTGGAGATTTTTATGGCTTCGTAAATTAGTTAAATTGCTTCCTCGTGCCAAAAGGAAGGGCAGTAAAAGAGGCGGATCAGGATCTGATTTAAGGGCACGCTCCAGTTAGCACCTTGTGGAAAGAAAAGCTAGGGCGTCTTGAGTTTCTGGGCACAACGATGGAGGAAAGGGAACTGCACCACGTGTAGGGACATTGCTCCAAACCAGGCGCCATCCTCGTCCGGTCCTTAAACGGACTCGCCTTTGTCTCGGGTCCGGCTCAGCACGATCATGGGCAACGCTGCCGGCTCCCCGGCGTCGACTCGGTGCCGAGCCCGAGGTCGCATTCGACGGGGCGGCCGCGCGGAAGGTGGCCCTCCGTCGCTCAGCGCATCCGAACTCTCGTCGATGAAAGCCAGGTTTTCGCCCGCGTAGTCTATAGGTCGTAACACGGCAGCATTGCGGGCGTTCATTTGGGCTATGCGTTGCAATGTGCGGGGAGACGGGCTCGGACACGATACGGGAGGCATTGATGGTGGTGGTGCTAAAGCCGAGGATGGCGATGGCAATTGCTCTGGTTGCGCCGGCGGCGTTGCCAGCTCCTGGCTTTCCCCTTGCTGCGTGATAGCCGACGGTGACAACGGCTTCCCTTTCAAGGTGCCCATCTTGTGCAGCTTATCTGGAAACGCCATGTTCGGGACGCGGATTTGGGACGCCACGTTCCCTGTCCAGGAGGCAGCGTGCGCCGTGAAATCTCCCATCTGTAGTGAGATTGAAGAGAAAGCGTTACAGAACAGATAGGCTGTGTGTATATCTATATATATAAATCTGAAAGTGGCGTCGAACGGAGAAGCAAAACTCAAAACCCCCCCAACGGAAATTAACCAAAATTCCCATGCACATACCTCAACCCACTAGGTACAAACAAATCGAATCAAAATTAAAAACAACACAACAACACACTTACAAAATGACAAAACAACTGAGCATGCGCAATGGCGCAAAGTCCCCGGGGCACGCGCGCACATGGCCGAACGGCCAACGCACCCTCCACACCTCCCTCCTTCCCTCGCCCAGCACACACACACACACGCCCCCTCACTCCCCCGCGCGACACACACACACGCCCCTCACTCCCCCCCGCGCACACACACACACGCCCCCTCACTCCCCCGCGCAACACACACACACACACGCCCCCTCACTACCCCGCACGGCACACACACACACGTCCCCTCACTCCCCCGCGCGGCACACACACACACACACATGCGCCCCCTCACTCCCCCGGCACGGCACACACACGCCCCTCACCCCCTCCCCCGCGTGGCACACACACACACACCACACACCCTCAGCCCCGCGCGGCACACACACACACACACACCCTCACTCCCCCGCGCAGCACACACACACACACCCCCCCACCCCCCCGCGCAGCACACACACACACACCCCCTCACTCCCCCGCGCAGCACACACACACACACACCCCCACACACCCCCCCCCCACACACACACACGCCCCCTCACCCCCCCGCGGCACACACACACACACCCCTCACTCCCGCGCGGCACACACACACACACACACCCTCACTCCCCCGCGCAGCACACACACACACACCCCCCCCCCCCCCCCCGCACACACACACACACACGCCCCCTCACTCCCCCGCGCGGCACACACACACACCCCTTCACAACAGAAGGAGTGACCATCACTCAAACAATTATGATTTTGTTATTTGGGAATTGTAGTTGCTGGGATTTATAGTTCACCTATAATCAAAGACCATTCTGAACTCCACCAATGATGGAATTGAACCAAATATGGAACACAGGACTCCCATGACCAACGGAAAATACTGAAAGAGTTTGGTGGGCATTGACCTTGAATTTTGGAATTGTAGTTCACCTACATCTAGAGAGCACTGTGGACTCAAACAATGATGGATTTGGACCAAACTTGGCACAAATACTCAATACGCCCAAATATAAACACAGATGGAGTTTAGGGAAAATAGACCTTGACATTTGGGAGTTGTAGTTTTTGGGATTTATAGTTCACCTACATTCAAAGAGCATTCTGAACTCCACCAACGATGGAATTGAACCAAACTTGGCACAAAGAACTCCCATGACTACCAAAAAATACTGAAAGAGTTTGGTGGGCATTGACCTTGAATTTTGGAATTGTAGTTCACCTACATCTAGAGAGCACTGTGGACTCAAACAATGATGGATCTGGACCAAACTTCGCACAAACACTCAATATTCCCGAATGTGAACACTGGTAGATTTTGAAGGGAAATAGACCTTGACATTTGGGTGTTGTAGTTGCTGGGATTTATAGTTCACCTACAATCAAAGAGCATTCTGGAACCCACCAACAATAGAATTGGGCTGAACTTCCCACACAGAACCCCCGACAGATGGCCATCCAGCCTCTGTTTAAAAGCTTCCAAAGAAGGAGCCTCCATCACACTCTGGAGCAGAGAGTTCCACTGCTGAACGGCTCTCACAGGAAGTTCTTCCTAATGTTCAGATGGAATCTCCTTTCTTGTAGTTTGAAGCCATTGTTCCGCGTCCTAGTCTCCAGGGCGGCAGAAAATAAGCTTGCTCCTTGGCCTGGAGGTTTTGAAGTTGTAGATACTGGGATTTATAGTTCACCTGCAATCAATGAGCACTCTGAACTCCACCAAAGACGGAATTGGACCAAACTTGGCACGCAGAGCCCCCATGACCAGCTAAAAATACTGGGGGCCTTTAGGGGAGATTCACCTTGATTTGGGGGAGTTGTAGTTCACCTACCTTCAGAGTGCACTGTGAACCCAAACACTGAAGGATCTGGACCAAACTTGGCACACAGACCTGATATGCTGAAATTAGATTACTAGAGGGGTTTGTGGGGAACTGACAATCCTTCCTGGGAGTTGTAGTTCACTCACAACCAGGGGAACTGTGACCTCCACTGATGATGGACCTGGACCAAACTTGGCACACTGAACCTCCATGACTAACTCAACCAACTGGAGAGGTCTGAGGGAAATTGGTCTGGATATTTTGGAGTTGCAGGTACTGGGATTTACAGTTGAGCTGGAATCAATGAGCACTTTGAACTCCACCAAAGATGGAATTGAACCACACTTGGCACACAGAACCCCCATGGCCAGCAAAAAATACTGGTGGTCTTTGGGGGAAAATCACCTTGATTTGGGGGAGTTGTAGTTCACCTATATCCAAAGTGCACTGTGAACCCAAACACAGATGGATCTGGATCAAACTAGGCACACATACCTGATATGCCAAAACTTGATTACTGGAGGGGTTTGTGGGGAACCAACCTTCCTTTCTGGGAGTTGTAGTTCACCCACAACCAGGGGAACTGTGACCTCCACTGATGATGGACCTGGACCAAACTTGGCACACATACACCCCATGACCAACTGAACCTACTGGAGGGGTTTGGGGGGACTGACCCACCATGGTGGGAGTTGTCAGAGTGAAATTTGGGGGGCTATGCGCAGCGGATGAGGTTACTAGATCACACAGACACAAATCAGGACACTGCAGTCTTCCAGTTTCAAAAATAACATAAAGTTTACTAAGTACATCTCAATACACGTCTACTTCTAAGCGGGTCAAATCAGGAACTACAAAGCACAGCTTCAGTACAGTTTCAGAACATTTGCTTATCAGGCTCTCTGGCTGTAAGCCGGATACTCCCTATTTCTTCCCAGCCGGAGAAACTCGTTATCTAACTTCTGTCAAGGTCTCTTCTCTCTCTACCTCTCTGTCTCTTACAACAACAATTCCAGCACATAATTGAACATAACAGAATCCATCTTGAATACATATGAACACCATTCTTAATCATATAGAAACACATTGAAAAAACATACATGCATACCTTCAATAATCCTGACAGGATTATCGTTGGAGCAAGGGATTTTTCCATCTAATTTGAAACAGGCTGTGGTTCGTCCACTCGTCAAAAAGACTTTCCTTGACTCCACGGTGCTGAACAATTACAGACCAATCTCCAACCTCCCTTTTTTGGGTAAGGTGCTGGAGCGGGTGGTCGCCTCCCAGCTCCAGGGCTTTTTGGATGACATCAATTACCTAGATCAGTCACAGTCTGGTTTCAGGCCTGGTCACGGCACCGAGACAGCCTTGGTCGCCTTGGTGGATGACCTCCGTAGAGAGCTGGACAGGGGGAGTGTGACTCTGCTGGTTCTCTTGGACATCTCAGCGGCTTTCGATACCATCGATCATGGTATCCTTCTGGGTCGTCTCTCTGGAGAGATGGGTCTTGGGGGCGCGGTTTTGTTGTGGCTCCGGTCCTTCCTGGAGGAACGAACCCAGATGGTGAAGCTGGGAGACGCCTGCTCGGATCCCTGGCCTTTGACCTGTGGGGTCCCGCAAGGCTCTATTCTGTCTCCCATGCTCTTTAACATCTACATGAAACCGCTGGGAGAGGTCATCCGGAGTTTTGGAGTTGGGTGCCATCTCTACGCAGATGACACACAACTCTACTACTCTTTTCCACCTAATTCCAAGGAAGCCCCTCGGGTGCTGGACGAGTGCCTGGCCGCTGTGGCTGTCTGGATGAGGAGGAACAAGCTGAAGATCAATCCCAACAAGACAGAGGTCCTCCTGGTCGATCGAAAACCGGATCGGGGTATAGGGTGGCAACCTGTGTTGGACGGGGTTGCACTCCCCCTGAAGCCACAGGTCCGCAGTTTGGGAGTCCTCTTGGATTCATCGCTTACGCTTGAGGCTCAGGCGTCGGCGGTGTCCGGGAGGGCTTTTGCACAATTGAGACTCGTGCGCCAACTGCGACCGTACCTCGCGAAGGCTGATCTGGCCGGGGTGGTCCATGCCTTGGTCACCTCTAGATTGGACTACTGTGCAATGCGCTCTACGTGGGGCTGCCCTTGAAAACGGCTCAGAAATTCCAACTGGTCCAACGGGCAGCAGCCAGGATGTTAACTGGGGCTCATTACATAGAGAGGTCAACCCTCCTGTTTAAGGAGCTCCACTGGCTGCCGTTTATTTTCCGAGCCCAATTTAAGGTGCAGGTGCTTACCTACAAAGCCCTGAATGGTTTGGGACCATTCTACCTGCGTGACCGCATCTCCGTCTACGAACCCACGCGTTCACTTCGGTCATCTGGAGAGGCCCTGCTCGTGATCCCACCGGCGTCACAAGCACGCTTGGTGGGGACTCGAGACAGGGCCTTTTCCGTGGTGGCCCCCTGACTCTGGAACGCCCTCCCAAGAGATCTTAGCCAGGCCCCTACATTGGCAGTCTTCAGAAAGAACTTGAAGACCTGGCTGTTCCGATGTGCCTTCTCAGATTAGGAATCTCCAATACCAAGTCCCAGAAGCACTTTAGTAGAACTAAGATTGCTGCACACCGCACTACCTACTTTATAATCCTACATACCTCCTGCCACATCAGCACTTTTAATCTTGTACCCATTACTCTGGCCCGGCCCAGTTTTATAGTGTCTTGATGTATTGTTTATTGTTCTGCTTAACTGTTTTTTAATTTGCTTTAGGTATTGTATTGTTGTATTGTGTTTTGAGGCCTTGGCCTATGTAAGCCGCATCGAGTCCTTCGGGAGATGCTAGGTAAAGGTAGTCTCCTGACATTAAGTCCAGTCATGTCTGACTCTGGGGTGTGGTGCTCATCTCCATTTCTGAGCCGAAGAGCCAGCGTTGTCCGTAGACACCTCCAAGGTCATGTGGCCGGCATGACTGCATGGAGCGCCATTTCCTTCCCGCCGGAGCGGTACCTATTGATCTACTCACATTTGCATTTTTTCGAACTGCTAGGTTGGCAGAAGCTAGGGCTGACAGCGGAAGCTCACGCCGCTCCCCGGAATCGAACCTGCGACCTTTCGATCAACAAGCTCAGCAGCTCAGTGCTTTAACCCACTGCGCCACCGGGGGCTCCAAATAAAGTAATAATAATAATAATAATAGGAGTTGTAGTTCACTCTACAGCCAGAGAGCGCTCTGAACCCCACCCATGATGCATCTAAACCAAACTTGCGCAACATAACAAATTTTGAGTACTGATGGGAGTTTTTCGGGATTAATTTGGCATGATAGGAGTTGTAGTTCACCCACAAACTTATACATTTAGTACTATTAAATGTTGACTTTTTCAAATAACCAGGGCAACGCCGGGCACCCAAGCTAGTATACAATAAACACAAACAAACAAGCACCCCATGCTACCTTTGTGATATTTTTATTGCCCTCCATCTGAACAGGAGGGTCAATGAGATTGAAAGACGTTTAATTAGGAAAGCTGTTTAATAAGCTGCCTTGCAAAATTGATGCCATCTGGTTCCTTAATTGACAGAAACTGGAGTTGTTCCAAATTGCCAAGCCTTCCCTCTGCATAATGATAAGTGGCATCAGAATCAAAATTGCCTCTCTGTATATGGAGGGAATGCGGGAATGCTCTAGGAATAGGATTGTCATTATTCTTGCAAATTTTGGTTCAATAAATAACATATATCCTGGCCCTGAGCCTTTTACATTAAAGGAGAGTAGGTAAAGGTAAATCTGCCATCTTGCGGATATGGGGCCCCCCGGGGGTTTCCGTATCCGCGGTTTGGGGTTTTCCCCTGACAATAATTCCAGTCGTGTTGTCGCCGAGGGCATCCCAGGCCCCTGCCTTCAAACTGGTTTGACCTGCAGCAGGGAGTTCCACAGTTCCTGATTGCCAAGTTGGGCCAAACTGATGAAATGTGCCCCAGCAGCAGTCTCAACCAGGGACTCTTCCCAGCCGTATGCTCTTTCCTTTCACTTCCCTTGCTAGCCCCAACTATGTAACAAATCCCCAAATAAAGATTAATCAAATTGCAACTTTTAAACTCTCTAGCTTGATACTTTGTGTCTCTTTCTTGCCTGAAACTATCCAACTGCATGAAACTAACCTTTTCTAGGCCGCGGGAGACTGCAGGCCTGCCCGGAATGCCTTCCTGGCGTTCTGGGGAGGCCGAATCTGTGCTCCCCAAACTGCGGATACGGAAACCCCCAGGGGCCCCCGTATCCGCGAGATGGCGGATTGACTCCATTTTGATGGCATATTTTTCTTGGCTAAATTCTAACACTATCTGCTATCTCACTTTTTGCATTTTTTTTTTTTTGCATTTGCAGACCCTCCTAAAGTTCCTATCGACTTCAATGTCTGACTCTCAGGGATGGTGCTGATCTCCATTTCGAAGCGGAAGAGCCGACATTGTCCGTAGACACCTCCAAGGTCTTGTGGCCAGCATGACTGCATGGAACTCAGTTACCTTCCCGCCGGAGCGGTACCTATTGATCTACTCACATTTGCATATTTTTGAACTGCTAGGTTGGCAGAAGCTGGGGCTGACAGTGGGAGCTCATGCTGCTCCCTGGTTTTGAACCTGCGAACTTTCAATCAGCAAGTTTAGCAGCTCAGCGGTTTAACCCACTGTGCCACCGGAGGCTCTTTTAAAGGATAGTACGGGGAGCTTAGTAGACAGAACACTTGGCTTTGGCTTCTAGTAAATGCATTACCCTTCCACGCTACAGAACTATAGCACAACGATTTCACCTTAACTGTCATGGCAATCCTATGAAGACTTGAGATTTGCAATTTAGGGAAGCCTAAATCTCTCAAACGTTGGGTCACTATTTGTTTCATACTTCATCTTCCAAATTCCTTGGCTGGCTTGAACCTCTGCGGAATGAAACCTGATAGGACGTTTCGTTTCTGAGTCCCTGCTTTCATGCTTTACCAAACCCAAACAGTCCACAAAATGTATTGTTGAAGGCTTTCATGGCCGGAATCACTGGGTTGTTGTAGGTTTTTTCGGGCTATATGGCCATGTTCTAGAGGCATTCCCTCCTGACGTTTCGCCTGCATCTATGGCAAGCATCCTCAGAGGTTGTGAGCTTGCCATAGATGCAGGTGAAAAATCAGGAGAGAATGCCTCTAGAACATGGCCATATAGCCCGAAAAAACCTACAACAACCCAATGGGAATTGTGTTCAGCGAGTGGGCTTAATAACAAAAGACACTCCCCATAAATGCTTTGGCCTACTCGCTCTCCTCAAAATGACACTAGCTTCGTCCAACTGACTCTAACAAGCTTCGGCCTACTTGCTCTCCTCAGGATGACACTAGCTTCGGCCAACTGACTCTAACAAGCTTCGGCCTACTTGCTCTCCTCAGGATGACACTAGCTTTGGCCAACTGACTCTAACAAGCTTCGGCCTACTTGCTCTCCTCAGGATGACACTAGCTTTGGCCAACTGACTCTAACAAGCTTCGGCCTACTTGCTCTCCTCAGGATGACACTAGCTTTGGCCAACTGACTCTAACAAGCTTCGGCCTACTTACTCTCCTCAGGACGACACTAGCTTTGGCCCACTGACTCTAACAAGCTTCGGCCTACTCACTCTCCTCAGGACGACACTAGCTTTGGCCCACTGACTCTTAACAAGCTTCGGCCTACTCACTCTCCTCAGGACGACACTAGCTTCGTCCAAATGACTCTTACAAGCTTCGGCTTACTCGCTCTCCTCAGGACGACACTAGCTTAGTCCAACTGACTCTAACAAGCTTCGGCCTACCTGCTCTCCTCAGGACGACACTAGCTTAGTCCAACTGACTCTAACAAGCTTCAGCCTACTCGCTCTCCTCAGGACGACACTAGCTTCGGCCAGCTGACTCTAACAAGCTTCGGCCTACTCACTCTCCTCAGGACGACACTACAAGCTTCGGCCTACTCACTCTCCTCAGGACGACACTAGCTTTGGCCCACTGACTCTAACAGGCTTCGGCCTACTCACTCTCCTCAGGACGACACTAGCTTTGGCCAACTGATTCTTGACACGCTTCGGCCTACTCACTCTCCTCAGGATGACACTAGCTTTGGCCAACTGACTCTTGCAAGCTTCAGCCTACTCACTCTCCTCAGGACGACACTAGCTTAGTCCAACTGACTCTAACAAACTTCGGCCTACTTGCTCTCCTCAGGACGACACTAGTTTTGGCCAACTGTAACAAGCTTCGGCCTACACACTCTCCTCAGGACGACACTAGTTTTGGCCAATTGTAACAAGCTTCGGCCTACACACTCTCCTCAGGACGACACTAATTTTGGCCAACTGTAACAAGCTTCAGCCTACACACTCTCCTCAGGACACTAGTTTTGGCCAACTGACTAACAAACTTCAGCCTACTCACTCTCCTCAGGACGACACTAGTTTTGGCCAACTGACTCTAACAAGCTTCGGCCTACACACTCTCCTCAGGACGACACTAGCTTCAGCCAACTGACTGACAAACTGCGGCCTACTCACTCTCCTCAGGATGACACAAGCTTCCGCCCACTGACTCTAACAGGGGAGAATGCTTCTAGAACATGGCCATATAGCCCGAAAAAACCTACAACCCAGTCCACAAAATGCCGTCACGTTACTTAACAGTGGAACGAGAGAATCCCATCCGCACAAGATGTGAAGGTAAAGTGAAATGGAAATGTAAGATCAAGGGAAACGGCATCCTTACCTCTGCCCTCGTGCGCCGGGACAAGACCCGCAGCCAGTTGCCGATCATGGTGAGGATGGAGGCAAAGTAAGCCAAGCCCAGCAGAATCCAGACCACCACCATCGGCTGGTACCAGATGTGCTCGCTGCTTTTGGTGTCACCTAAAGAAAAAGAGACCCTCAAAGATAATGGCATCCCATTGTCAGCATTAATGTTGTGTCTCTATGTGGGAGAAAGTGATGTGTCATCTCATCCATAGTATATCAAGCAATCTTAAGGAAAACAGGATGCAATTACAACACAGCACAACAACAAGAAGAAATTTTTGGTGTCTTTGATCCAAAAAAATTGGACTGCATCAACTCTAATTTCTTAGAGAGTAATAACAACTGGTATCTAGAATCATAGAATCACAGAATCAAAGAGTTGGAAGATACCTCATGGGCCATCCAGTCCAACCCCATTCTGCCAAGAAGCAGGAATATTGCATTCAAATCACCCCTGACAGATGGCCATCCAGCCTCTGTTTAAAAGCTTCCAAAGAAGGAGCCTCCACCACACTCCGGGGCAGAGAGTTCCACTGCTGAACGGCTCTCACAGTCAGGAAGTTCTTCCTCATGTTCAGATGGAATCTACTCTCTTGTAGTTTGAAGCCATTGTTCCATTGCGTCCTAGTCTCGCCCTTCTCTGGACACATTCCAGCTTGTCAACTCTCATGTATTTATACATGGCTATCATATCCCCTCTCAGCCTTCTCTTCTTCAGGCTAAACATGCCCAGCTCCTTAAGCCGCTCCTCATAGGGCTTGTTCTCCAGACCCTTGATCATTTTAGTCGCCCTCCTCTGGACACATTCCAGCTTGTCAACATCTCTCTTGAATTGTGGTGCCCAGAATTGGACACAATATTCCAGGTGTGGTCTAACCAGAGCAGAATAGAGGGGTAGCATTACTTCCTTAGATCTAGACACTATGCTCCTCTTGATGCAGGCCAAAATCCCATTGGCTTTTTTTGCCGCCACATCACATTGTTGGCTCATGTTTAACTTGTTGTCCACGAGGACTCCAAGATCTTTTTCACACGTACTGCTCTCGAGCCAGGCGTCCCCCATTCTGTCTCTTTGCATTTCGTTTTTCCTGCCAAAGTGGAGTATCTTGCATTTGTCCCTGTTGAACTTCATTTTGTTAGTTTTGGCCCATATGCCATATTGCAAAAACTAGAGCTGATGCGAGGAAATGGGTGCCATTTCAAGGATCTGGAGAGCAAGCCCTATGAGGAGCGGCTTAAAGAGCTGGACATGTTTAGCCTGAAGAAGAGAAGGCTGAGAGGAGATATGATAGCCATGTATAAATATGTGAGAGGAAGTCACAGGGAGGAGGGAGCAAGCTTGGAGGCCAGGACGCAACGGAGCAATGGCTTCAAACTACAAGAAAGGAGATTCCATCTGAACATTAGGAAGAACAACCTGACATTCCAGCTTGTCAATATCTCTCTTCAATTGTGGTGCCCAGAATTGGACACAATATTCCAGGTGTGGTCTAACCAAAGCAGAATAGAGCATGGGGAGCATGACTTCCCTAGATCTAGACACGATGCTCCTATTGATGCAGGCCAGAATCCCATTGGCTTTTTTGCTGCCACATCACATTTCTGGCTCATGTTTAGCTTGTTGTCCACGAGGACTCCAAGATATTTTTCACACGTACTGCTCTCGAGCCAGGCATTGTCCCCCATACTGGAGGTCTTTGGTTCAGTTGTGGTTAAGCACAAAGGTTGTGGTTAAGCGCAACGTCTGCAGGTGCAAATAGGTACTTTACATTAAGAGGTTGATGGGACACGAAGAATAAAAAGTCAAAGTACTTTCCATTACGAAAAATATTCTTGTTTACTTGAGGATATATAAAGGTTTACAAAAGCCGAGGAGGGGGCGGCAGTCTGTGAAAAGCACTTCCAAAGATGCTGTCGGTTCACCTCATGCTGATCAGCTTGAATAAACGGTCTTATATTGGACTCGAAAAGGGACCCCACACCCTAAACCCATGATCCCTTACAGACACATTCCAGCTTGTCAATATCTCTCTTGAATTGTGGTGCTCAGAATTGGACACAATATTCCAGGTGTGGTCTAACCAAGGCAGAATAGAGCATGGGGAGCATGACTTCCCTAGATCTAGACACTATGCTCCGATTGATGCAGGCCAAAATCCCACTCTGATTGGCCCCTCGGCACCCACCTGCAACATAATCGCCGAATCCAATTGTGGTCAGTGTGATGACCACGAAGTAGATGCTTTCCAGGAGGGTCCACCCTTCTATGTGCTGGAAAATGATGGTCGGCAAAGAGACGAAGAGGAGGCAGCCGATGAGGATGAAGAGCAAGGCCGAGAGCACCCTCACGATGGTCGCACTCACCTGCCACTTCTGAGTTGGGGAGAGAAGGAGGCGAGTCAGCATTCAAGAAGTCATTACCGCTCCGAAAGGAAGTCCGCTCTCACGTGTAAGGTTCCCACCCAGCGATGTGTCTAATGCCGGGATCTGGGAGTGGATCCTTGCATTCGTGGGGCATCTTCAGAGGGGGCATGAAAACAACAGTCCTATACTTTGAATTCCTATTGGCACACAGTTCTCCCATGACCAACAGAAAATACTGGAAGGGTTTGGTGAGCAGTGTCCTTTTGCTTTGGAGTTGTAGTTCACCTACATCCAGAGATCACTGTGGACTCAAACAATGATGGATCTGGTCCAAACTCTACATGAATACTCAATATGCCCAAATGTGAACACTGGTGGAGTTTGGGGAAAATAGAATCTTGACATTTGGGAGTTGTAGTTGCTGGGATTTATAGTTCACCTACAATCAAAGAGCATTCTGAACTCCACCAATGATGGAATGGGCCAAACTTAGCACACAGGGCTCCCATGACCAACAGAAAAAACTGGAAAGGTTTGGTGGACATTGACCTTGAGTTTGGGAATTATAGTTCACCCACATCCAGAGAGCACTGTGGACTCAAACAATGATGGATCTGGACCAAACTTGGCATGAATATTCCATATGCCCAAATATGAACACAGATGGAGTTTAAGGGAAATAGACCTTGACATTTGGGAGTTGTAGTTGCTGGGATTTATAGTTCACCTACAATCAAAGAGCATTCTGAACTCCACCAATGATGGAATTCAACCAAACATGGCATACAAGACTTCCATGACCAACAGAACACACTGGAAGGTTTGGTGGGCATTGACCTTGAGTTTTGGAGTTGTAGTTCACCTACATCCAGAGAGCACTGTGGACTCAAACAATGATGGATCTGGACCAAACTTGACACAAACATTCCATATGCCTAAATATGAACACTGGTGGAGTTTGGAGGAAATAGACCTTGACATTTGGGATTTGTAGTTACTGGGATTTATAGTTCACTACAATCAAAGAGCATTCTGAACCCCACAAATGACAACATGGCACACAGTTCTCCCATGACCAACGGAAAATACTGGAAGGGTTTGGTGGACAGTGTCCTTTGGTTTTGGAGTTGTAGTTCACCTACATCCAGAGAGCACAGCATGATGGATCTGGACCAAACTCTACACGAATACTCAATATGCCCAAATGTGAACACTGGTGGAGTTTGGGGAAAATAGAATCTTGACATTTGGGAGTTGTAGTTGCTGGGATTTATAGTTCACCTACAACCAAAGAGCATTCTGAACCCCACCAATGATGGAATTGAACCAAACTTGGCACTCAGTTCTCCCATGACCAACTGAAAATACTGGAAGAGTTTGGTGGGCAGTGTCCTTTGGTTTTGGAGTTGTAGTTCACCTACATCCAGAGATCACTGTAGACACAAACAATGAATACTCAATATGCCCAAATGTGAACACTGGTGGAGTTTGGGGAAAATAGAATCTTGACATTTGGGAGTTGTAGTTGCTGGGATTTATAGTTCAACTATAATCACAGACCATTCTGAACCGCACCAATGATAGAAATGGGCCAAACCTCCCACACAGAACCCCCATGACCACCAGAGTGGGCCACAGCAAGGCATGGCAGGGGACGGCTAGTAAATAAATAAATAATTTTAGGTGAAAATGGGTCACGAGTGGAAAAAGTTTAAGAAGCCAAGTTTTTTATACTGTACTTATATTTGTAACCCGTGTTTCTCTCCACAAGGAGACTCTGTCACAGCGGTTCTCAACCTGGGGGTCGCGACCACCCGAGGGGTTGCCTGGCCATTTCAGAGGGGTCGTGAGGTTGCCCCATCCAACTCCCGAAATAGTGGCCAGGTCCCGGGACCACCCTCTTCTCGCCCCCTTCAAGGTGGACATGAAAGAGGTGTAGAGAGGAATTTCTGCTCACCAAAAAAACGTCTTCCACTTTGCCAATGGCTTTCCGGAGAGAGGATCCCAAAAGATCTCCGACTCCTGCGAGCAGCATCCCGAAGAGAGGGATCCCCACGAGAGCATAGAAGATACAGAAGATCCGGCCAGCATCCGTCTTGGGGGAAATGTTCCCAAATCCTATGAGGTCGGAACAGTGAAGAGAAAGACTCTCGATCAAAACAAACGGAAGGACTCGTCAGTAGTGATCCTGTCTATCCCAACTATAACCAATTGACTGTTTTGGGTGTTTTGGAAGCTACAAGGAGCGTTCATTAAAGATTGCCATGCAGGAAAAGCACAATCAATCCCCCTCCCCGACCATCCAGCCTCTGTTTAAAGGCCTCCAAGAAAGGAGCCTCCACTACACTCTGCGGCAGTGAGTTCCACTGTTGAACAGCTCCTACGGTCAGGAAGTTCTTCCTAATGTTGAGGCGGAATTCTCCAAAATCAGCCCCTGGGTACCGATGGTGGTGATGACGGTGCCAGCGAAGAAGAAGGCGCTGCTCATATCCCAGTGTGAGCTGTTGCTGCTTGTGCTGTTGATGACCGGGTTCACACCAGCTCCCATGGCCTCGGTTATTTGCTGGGAAGAAGGTCAGAAAAAAGTATTACACCAAGCATGGAGATAACCTACCAAGCACTCCAAAGGGAAATACTACAAGATGGACTTTTACAGTTTCTACTGATACTCCTAGGTTGTTATTATTATTTTATTTTATTTTATTATTTTATTTTATTTTATTTTATTTTATTTTTATTATTTTTTATTTTATTATTATTATTATTATTATTATTATTATTATTTTATTATTATGTTTTTTAAAAATACTGGTAGCCAAGCTTTAGAGTTTAAAAAGAACTCTAAAATCATAACAGTAAATGAAGAACAACACTCAAAAATAGAGGAAACAATTAGGGACAGCTAATCACCTCCCAACAAAGGATTCCCCCAGGCAGTAAGAAGCCAGACCCTGAAACTGCTAGGTCATTAAATTCTAATCAAGATGGCCAATTGAAACATTCACATCTAATTCCAAACAGACAATCTCTGGACATCCCAGAGATATATAAACCTCACTTGCCTAGTTTCCAACGGCCCTCTCAACCTCTGAGGATGCCTGCCATAGATGTGCGTGCAACGTCATAGAATCATAGACTTGGAAGACACCTCATGGGCCATCCAGTCATTGCATTCAAGGTACCCCCAACAGAAGCCCTCACAACCTCTGAGGATGCCTATCATAGATGTGGGCGAAACATCAGGAGAGAATGCTTCTGGGACATGGCCAGACAGCCTGGAAAACTCACAACAACCCAGTGATTCCGGCCAGGGAAGCCTTCGACAAGCCCTCACAACCTCTGAGGATACCTGCCATAGTTGTGGGCGAAACATCAGGAGAGAATGCTTCTGGAACATGGCCAGACAGGAAAACTCACAACAACCCAGTGATTCCGGCCAGGGAAGCCTTCGACAAGCCCTCACAACCTCTGAGGATGCCTGCCATAGATGTGGGAAAAACATCAGGAGAGAATGCTTCCGGAACATGGCCAGACAGCCTGGAAAACTCACAACAACCCAGTGATTCCGGCGAGGGAAGCCTTCGACAAGCCCTCACAACCTCTGAGGATGCCTGCCATAGATGTGGGTGAAACATCAGGAGAGAATGCTTCTGGAACATGGCCAGACAGCCTGGAAAACTCACAACAACCCAGTGATTCCGGCCAGGGAAGCCTTCGACAAGCCCTCACAACCTCTGAGGATACCTGCCATAGATGTGGGCGAAACATCAGGAGAGAATGCTTCCGGGACAAGGCCAGAGAGCCTTCAAAACTCACAGCAGCCCAGTATATACCACACGTTCAACATGCATGCTCTTTCCTCAACTACATATGCTGGACTGCCATTCCCATCCCCAAAGAGCTAGCCCACAGTTGGGGGATGCTGGGAGTTGCCATCCCCATCCTGTCCCAGACCCCTTCCCCATTCGTTCACCTGGATGAGGTCCTCCAGCTCCTCAGGAGCGACACACTGGTGCAGCCTTAAGAACTGGTCCAGGTGGGCTTGGAGTTTCATCTGTTGGTGGACCTCATGGGGGTGTTCCAGCTGGCGGAAGACAAAGGCGCCCGTGACCAGGTAAATCAGGACCACCGAGAAGAGGGCCAAGATCGTGGTGCGGCGCATCACAGCGGTGTGTTCGGGAGGCCTTGGGCTCAAGATGGATTCCTTGGACGGGTAGCAGACTACGGGCATGGAGCCATGGTGGTCCGGAGGGCAGATGGCCAGGGCCGGCGGCGGCGGGGAGTAATTCACTGCAGTGGGACAGAGAAAGAGAAGGAAAGAATCACAGTGTGCGACAGACCCCCAAAGGTCATTGAATCCAATGTCCAGCTAGAGCAGTGCTTCTCAACCTGGGGGTCGGGACCCCTGAGGGGGTCGCGAGGGGGAGTCAGAGGGGTCACCAAAGACCATAAGAAAACACTATAAGTATTTTCTGATGGTCATGGAGATTCCATGTGGGAAGTTTGAGCCAATTCTATCGTTGGTGGGGTTCAGAATGTTCTTTGATTGTAATGAACTATAAATCCCAGCAACTACAACTCCCAAATGTCAAGATCTAGAGTTTGGTCCAAATCCACCATTGCATGAGTCCACAGTGCTCTCTGGATGTAGGTGAACTACAACTCCCACAATTCCTAACAGCCGGTTTGCGAAGTTTGGTCCACATGCCTCATTGTTTGAGTCCACGGTGATCTCTGGATGTAGGTGAACTACAACTCCCAAACTCAAGGTTAATGTCCACCAAACCCTTCCAGTATTTTCTCTTGGTCATGGGAGTTCTGTGTGCCAAGTTTGGTTCAATTCCATCATTGGTGGGGTTCAGAATGCTCTTTGATTGTAGGTGAACTATAAATCCTGGCAACTACAACTCCCAAATGTCAAGATCTATTTCCCCCAGACTCCACCAGTGTTCACATTTGGGCATTTTGAGTATTCGTGCCAAGTTTGGTCCAGATCCACCATTGCATGAGTCCACAGTGCTCTCTGGATATAGGTGAACTACAACTCCCAAACCTTTGGGGGTTGTAGTTGCTGGGATTTATAGTTCGCCTACAATCAAAGAGCGTTCTGGACTCCACCGACGATGGAATTGATCCAAATTTGGCACACAGAACTCCCATGACCAACAAAAAATAATGGAAAGATATTTCCTTGAGTTTGGGAGTTGTAGTTCACCTACATCCAGCGAGCACTGTGGACTCAAACAATGATAGATCTGGACCAAACTTGGCACGAATATTCAATATGCCCAAATGTGAACACTGATGGAGTCTGGCGAAAATAGACCTTGATATTTGGGAGTTGTAGTTGCTGGGATTTATAGTTCACTGACAATCAAAGAGCATTCTGAGCTCTACCAATGAGGGAATTGAACCAAACTGGACTCCACCGATGATGGAATTGAACCAAACTTGGCACACAGAACTCCCATGACCGACAGAAAATACTGGAAAGCTTTGGTGGATATCGACCTTGTGTTTTGGAGTTGTAGTTCACCTACACCCAGAAAGCACTGTGGACTCAGACAATCAAAGATCTGGACCAAACTTGGCACGAATATTCAATACGCCCAAATGTGAACACTGATGGAGTCTGGCGAAAATAAACCTTGACATGTAAATATATGATCTCCAGGGTGTATTTTCATTCACTGGACCAAATTTGGCACAAATACCCAATACGCCCAAATGTGAACACTGATTGAGTCTGGTGAAAACAGACCTTGACATTTGGGGGTTGTAGTTACTAGGATTTATAGTTCACCTACAATCAAAGAGCATTCTGGACTCCACCGACGATGGAATTGATCCAAATTTGGCACACAGAACTCCCATGATCGATAAAAAATAATGGAAAGATATTTCCTTGAGTTTGGGAGTTGTAGTTCACCTACATCCAGAGAGCACTGTGGACTCAGACAATGATAGATCTGGACCAAACTTGGCTCGAATATTCAATATGCCCAAATGTGAACACTGATGGAGTTTGGCGAAAATAGACCTTGATATTTGGGAGTTGTAGTTGCTGGGATTTATAGTTCACTGACAATCAAAGAGCATTCTGAGCTCTACCAATGAAGGAATTGAACCAAACTGGACTCCACCGATGATGGAATTGAACCAAACATGGCACACAGAACTCCCATGACCAACAGAAAATACTGGAAAGCTTTGGGGGTATCGATCTTGTGTTTTGGAGTTGTAGTTCACCTACACCCAGACAGCACTGTGGACTCAGACAATCAAAGATCTGGACCAAACTTGGCACGAATATTCAATACGCCCAAATGTGAACACTGATGGAGTCTGGCGAAAATAGACCTTGACATTTGGGGGTTGGAGTTTCTAGGATTTATAGTTCGCCTACAATCAAAGAGTGTCTGGACACCACTGACGATGGAATTGAACCAAACTTGGCACACGGAACTCCCATGACCGACAGAAAATATTGGAAAGATATTTCCTTGAGTTTGGGAGTTGTAGTTCACCAACATCCAGTAAGTACTGTGGACTCAAACAATGATAGATCTGGACCGTTCGCACGAATACTAAATATAACCAAATGTGAACACTGATGGAGTCTGGCGAAAATAGACCTTGACATTTGGGAGTTGTAGTTGCTAGGATTTATATAGTTCACCTAAAACCAAAGAGCATTCTGAACCCCACCAACGATAGAATTGGGCCAAAATTCCCACACAGAATGCTCATGACCAACATAAAATACTATGTTTTCTGATAGTCTTTGGTGACCCCTCTGAAATCCCCCACGCGACCCCCAGGTCGCGTCAGGAGAGAATGCTGTCCTATGGTAAGAACATATATGCTTTCCTGTTTGCTGAACTGCTGGCACCAATATTGAGAGGAGGAAACCAAAATCAATCTTCACAAGCCAGACTTTAAAGCTGCAAGGCTATTAAATGCTAATCAAGGTGGTCAATTGCGACACTGACCTTTGCCTCAAGCAGACAAGAGTTCTTTCTCCCACCCTGGACATCATTCCACAGATATATAAACCCCACTTGTTTCCAACACACCCCACAACCTCTGAGGATGCCTGCCAGAGATGTGGGCGAAACGTCAGGAGAGAATGCTTCTGGAACAAAACTCAAAGCAACCCAAAACCAATCTTCACATTCCTTTATGAGGTAGCATTCCAGAGTATTGACTTGTTTTAAATGTTATTTTATCTGGGGAGTAGGTTCAAATCCGGGGAGTAGGTGGATGAGCTCCCTCTGTCAGCTCCAGCTCCCCATGCGGGGACGTGAGAGAAGCCTCCCGCAAGGATGGTAAAACATCAAAACATCCAGGCGTCCCCTTTGGCAACATCTTTGCAGACGGCCGATTCTCTCACACCAGAAGCGACTTGCAGTTTCTCAAGTCACTCCGGACACAAAATAATACTGTGAGTAAGCGCTCCTAGATTCAATAGGACATATTCTCTCACACCAGAAGCGACTTGCAGTTTCTCAAGTCACTCCGGACACAAAATAATACTGTGAGTAAGCGCTCCTAGATTCAATAGGACATATTCTCTCACACCAGAAGCGACTTGCAGTTTCTCAAGTCACTCCGGACACAAAATAATACTGCGAGTAAGCGCTCCTAGATTCAATAGGACATATTCTCTCACACCAGAAGCGACTTGCAGTTTCTCAAGTCACTCCGGACACAAAATAATACTGTGAGTAAGTGCTCCTAGATTCAATAGGACATATTCTCTCACACCAGAAGCAACTTGCAGTTTCTCAAGTCACTCCGGACACAAAATAATACTGTGAGTAAGCGCTCCTAGATTCAATAGGACATATTCTCTCACACCAGAAGCAACTTGCAGTTTCTCAAGTTACTCCGGACATAAAATAATACTGTGAGTAAGTGCTCCTAGATTCAATAGGACATATTCTCTCACACCAGAAGCGACTTGCAGTTTCTCAAGTCACTCCGGACACAAAATAATACTGCGAGTAAGCGCTCCTAGATTCAATAGGACATATTCTCTCACACCAGAAGCGACTTGCAGTTTCTCAAGTCACTCCGGACACAAAATAATACTGCGAGTAAGCGCTCCTAGATTCAATAGGACATATTCTCTCACACCAGAAGCGACTTGCAGTTTCTCAAGTCACTCCGGACACAAAATAATACTGCGAGTAAGCGCTCCTAGATTCAATAGGACATATTTTGGACTAAGCACACAGTATATCACAGTCTTACGGAACATCTTTGAGCTTCCACTCTTTCAAGAGAGCTCAAAGCAACATTCAGAACAAAATGTACCCAAAATACAATGCAGGCGGATGCTCTCGATTCTCTGTAGCTTATGTTACTATAGCTTTCCTCGTCCCACCACTTTCTCTACATTATATACTTACCTCAAAGGTTGTGCTGGGTTGCAAAGACCGCACAGAAACGTCTCTTTCCTTGCAGAGAGCTGGGACGGCTTTGGGAGTGAGATGTGGACGCTGCGAGAAGTCCTGCGGTGCATTTGGTCCCCCGCCAGGCTCAAGAACCAAAGATGCCTCCAATTACCGAAAGACAATTCAATTCGAGGCTGCCCACCTTCTATCCAAGGCCAACCCTCTCGGGCAACCGCAAGAAGAGGAAAAGTACTCTCTGGGTTTGCCCGGAGACCCACATCCCACTCCTGGGCATCGTTTCCCACATCTATCAATCCCAGAAGGGAACGCTAGGAAAAGGTAGTTAAACCAGGGCATGAAATGTGCCAGCCTGGGAAAGGAGGCACTTAGAAACCAAATTAAAAGGCCATTTCCACTAAGAAAGTGTTTTCAGTGTGCATTTATAATATGTTGACAATCCTGCACACGCTCAGTTTTGACAATCCTGCACACACCAACTGTTGAGAACCCTGCACACACCCAGTGTTGACAATCCTACACAAGCCCTGTTGACAATACTGCACACACCTAGTGTTGAGAACCCTGCAAACGCTCAGTGTTGACAATCCTGCACATACTCAGTGTTGATAATCCTGCACACACCCAATGTGGACAATCCTGCACACACCTAGAGTTGAAAAACCTGCACACTCCCAGTGTTGATAATCCTGCACATACCCAGTGTTGATACTCCTGCACATGCCCAGTGTTGATAATCCTGCACATACTCAGTGTCGATAATCCTGCACATACCCACTGTGCACATACTCAGTGTTGACAATCCTGCACACACCTAGTGTTGAGAACCCCGCACACGCCTAGTGTTGATAATCCTGCACATACCCAGTGTTG